CTCTAGTATATATATATATATATATATATATATATATATATATATATATATAAATATATATATATATATATAATATAAGTTATTTTCCTGTTTGCGTCCTGCGAGCCTGAATCGCCCCTGTCTTTTCCTGTGCTCTGTCCCTGGCTAGAAAACCTAGATTGATAGTAAGGCTACCAAATGCTGCTAACAACGTTCCACTTCCCTACTGGCACAGATTGCGCTGCCAGAGTTTTGGAACATCCTACAAGCCCTGCAGAAGGTGTGTACAACGTTTGCATGTGTCGAAGAGGACAGGGACAGCGTCAAGCCCGCCGTGACTACGCCCGAAGAAACAGCCGCACACAAAAGCCCCCAAGACGACGCGGAAATGCTCAGCGAAGACAACGGGACGGACATAGACGAGTCTAGAGACGTAGAAATGACTAATGCAGAGGGGGTAGATAGTATCAGCGTTCCGGAACGGAAGACGTTGCTAGATGAACTGCTCTCTGTGGGCATGTCGGAAATACATGATCATGTGCTTCGATTCGTGGGCGCTATCAGTGCGAAGGGAGCCGAGTATGTTTAGAGTCCTGTCGTATATGCTGTGGTGTTGCTTGTGTGTACTTTTAGCTCGTTGTGAATGTCGCATACTTGCTTTAATGCCAGTGATATGGACATTAAATTGTCTTATTTTGATGGACATCAAAACGGCTATTAACTTAATTTTATGGATTGTGCCCATGTTACAGGGCGAATGATAAGACAGCGTTCTTAAGGCGACCGGAAGAACACCCAGATATCAGCAAAGCCCAAGAGGTAACCACTGTAAATATGCATGATATGCAATAGTTGCTTCACTTTTCAGTAGCCATTAACCCTATACGTAACAGTGTAATGTGATCATTGTGTTCCCTGTATTGATTCAAAGTTCGGCGTGTCAAGCTAATTCTGTTTCCCTGGGCTGTGTCGATCTGCAGAACATCAACGAAATCATACAGGAGATTAAAGTGCATCGAAAACTCATTCGGAAGATAGTAGGCAATCCGGCTCTGGAATACGTGACCGTGGCTGGAGTGGAGGTGTGTGCGATCACGCAAAATGGCAGGCGCTCTGCTACTCTCCCTTGGTGTCCACCGCCGAGGCTCAACTCGCAATCCCAATTCCCCCTTTCATTGTGAATACAGTGTTTGCAGGCTCTCAGGCGTTCTTGCTCTTCTGTCCTGTACTATAGCTCGTGAGTAGTTATTTCGCTGCTTACCCGTTCCGTTCATTTGAGTGTTTGTTCGTCTTCTAATCCCTTTAAGCAGTGTGTTCCTTGCATTAAACTCTCATTCGCTTCCAAATCTCAGCATCCACATCTCGGCATACTGCATGTGTAGAATACCTCTGGGCACACCGCATGATTTTGCTTGCTCAACAAAATTGTGCTTTGCACGTAATGGCAAAATCATTCGATTGCCTAACATGCAAAAGGCTCTCTTAATTCACGCGAACTGAATATGCGCATTTTTAATTCGATGTTGTTATCTGTCCAATTTTCTTGCATCCAGTATCTCGTCGAGGTCACGCATGCCGTTGGGAAGAAATTACCGAAAGATTGGATCCCAATTAACAGGTAAGTCTAATATTTTGGTGTACTGTTGAATGTGATGGCACTGCAAGACGCATATCTTACGTATCGGGATGATATAGGGATATAAACCCAAGATATATACTCCCAATACATATGAACCCCTGATGTATACTCCAAATTTATAGTTACCTGTGGCTCGTTCGGCGTGAAACTAATCATCGAGTTGCCGTTGGTTGTATTATAAATTCTTGGGCTGTCATTGTTGATATGCTTACAACTGCACGTGCACCTATATATCGTATCTGCGCTGATCAAGGACCACTAGGATGGGCACACGGGACAACTGATGCATCAGACACACCACGGCAATGCACATAACATGCATAGCGTATGTACGTTAAATATTTACCACCAGATACACCACGGCAACGCACATAGCATGCATAGCGTATGTACGTTAAATATCCACCACCAGATACACCACGGCAATGCACATAACATGCATAGCGTATGTACGTTAAATATGCACCACCAGATACACCACGGCAATGCACATAACATGCATAGCGTAAGTACGTTAAATATCCACCACCGCTATAATCACACAGTACAAAGAAAGTGGGGCGATACAGAACACCGATGCTTGACGATTTGGTGCTGCGACTTCAAGAGCAGCGGGAGAGGCTGACTATAGCTTGTGAGGCAGCGTGGATGGTTATGCTAGAGTAAGTAGTAACTATGTCATTAGTGTACAATAGGTAGTAACTGAGTTATTAATGTACAATAAGTAGTAACTATGTCATTAGTGTATAATAGGTAGTAACTGAGTTATTAATGTACAATAAGTAGTAACTATGTCATTAGTGTACAATAGGTAGTAACTGAGTTATTAATGTACAATAAGTAGTAACTATGTCATTAGTGTATAATAGGTAGTAACTGAGTTATTAATGTACAATAAGTAGTAACT